GGTCATTTACATGAGAACAGTCTCCCTAAGCTTTCCATCAGCTCCTTATTCTGCACCTAAAGTTAATATTTCTCTTCTTATGACTCATTGCCACAATAACAGAGGCAAGATCCATTTACAATAGACTAGCTACTAGAAGAACCTGCACTATTTTGTTACAGGGAAGCTTTGAACTAGGAGAGCAGCTTTCTGTACCACATACCTGGCCAAAGTAGTAAAGTAAGCCCAAGTTTCCTTTCAAGTCTGCCCCAACTAAAACTTCAGCTTCTATGAAGCCAAATCAAAGACTAAAGGGTGAGGAGAGTTTCCTAGACCCTAAATCCTAACTAACAGAGGAAGGGACAAGACAAGCTATGGCTCAGCAGCTTGAAGCAAGTCTACAGCCTTACCACCAGCTACTTTGATCAGTTTTTGTGCAACTACTTTTGCAAGGGTAGAAAAATCTCTCTTTACTAAGGACCATTCAGTGTTTACCTCCTGGCAAGTTTCCACTGCCAAAGTTGGCCCACATTTATCATACTGAGCATCAAGTACTTAACTCGGGGTCCCATCTGCTGGAAACTGAGTCTCAGCAGACTTACCACCACCATGGGCAAGAAAGTCAGGCATAATTCCAACTTCCCAGCAGAGTGTTTGCTGGCAGGTACTGTTTGACCTCTTCGCTACAGGACGGACAGACTAACCTTAAGTTAAGAGTCCCAGTGCCAAGTCTTTCCTTATTGCCAGCTCATACCTAGCTTTGGTTGGAAAGGCCCGGGGGGGGGGGGCAGGGAACCATTAAATGTAGCAGTTTAATCTGTGTTGGCAGAGCTACCAAGATAGGTCACCTGCACAGTGAGCATAATTTCTTAGGAAGCAGCTTCATCTAAGTTAGCTTCTTTGTACCTCCAGACAAACTCATGCTACTGCTATTGTTCCTCATCAAGCTGCATTTCTACCAAGTGATAACTTTCTTTGGGGCAAGAATGTAGGGAAATGCTTGCATTTTTTTTCCAGGTAATGACTGGACAAATTTATTTATTTATACAAATTTAATAAGTAAGAAGGCAACCTGCTCCCTCAGCTTATATAAAAAAAACAAAAACATAGTTCACTTATGCTTCTTTATGTTATTCAACATAATTAAAAGCCACCAATTGCAAAAAGCATAGGTAAGGAGTACCAAAAGATATTTAGAGGGTATCTTGTAAGTAAGGGTGGGATTGCATGTTAAATAAGTACAAGGAAATCACAGAGAAACTTTAATTCCAGCTTCACCATCTCAAAATTTGTTTTCCAGTCTCTTCCTAGCATTGCCAGGCACTTCTACTGTGCCTTCCATTCAAAGTAAAGGCACTTCACAGGCACTTAAAGCTGCCATAGCCATATACATTCAGTTCTGAATGCCTCATTTCCCAAGTGGGGCACACACTGGAGACAGGGTAACAGCTTGGCACAAACAAGCCAATTAACAGGATAATTGTACAGAAAGCATCAAGCAAACTGTGGCAGAGCCAGGAAGAGATACTCTAGCATCTAGTCCTATTCAGGTGTCCCTGCTACCAGGCAACTTCCTTTCTAAAAGGGCAAAAAACTCACTGCCAGGTACAACACCAGGCACCAAGGCAATCCATCAGTGCTTTATTTACATTCAGGGGCAAGGCAAGTCTCCTTGCCGTCCTAAAGCAGGCAAGACAGATCAATAAGCAACCCCCCCACCCCACCAGGCTGGGGTGAGGAGGCTCAGTGGTCACTCGGCAGATGAAAATAAAGTTCTCAGTCCCCATTTCTTGTCAGTGCTCCACCCCTAAATTTGCTGATACTTAAGGGAAACCAAACAGGCTCCATTTTCAGAGCTGCAGAAGATCTGTCCAAGTCACATCTGACCTGCCTGGGTGGAAGAAAGCAGGCAGACAAACATCTTGGTATGTCACACATGGGAGAAAACCAGCAAAATTCAGGCAGGATCAAGACTTCCTTCTGCACCAAACCTCCTGGCCGGGGGGCAGAGAGGCCCTTCCACACCCCACATGTTCTCTATGACTTCATCATCCCACAGCTGGGTCCTTCCTTCCCATCCCATGTGGGAAGGGCTTTGGAGCATCAAGCTGGTTAGCAAGCAAGGAACCAAACAGCAAAGCCTCCCTCTGTGTTGAGACTATCGGCCAAAAGATATATGAGTGAAGTGCCCCTCCCAGGTGATCACGCTCAGTCCCATGTCCCAGAAGCAGCTCAGCTCCACCCTCAGCATTTATCCTCCCAAGGCTGATGAAGAAGGGCATCCTCCCACGAGCCGGGCGCAGGGAGCAGAGGGGCCTATCCCCATCCCTCCTGTGCTCAGCCTGGGCTGCATAACCACAGCCCGGTAACAGGTGCCTCGGGAACAGGCACCGAGCCAGGAGGCAGCAGAGGGACGCAGGCGGCTCCCCACGGCTCCAGCCGAGACCAGGCACCCGGCAAGCCCCGCCGCCCCTCGGGCTCGGGATGGAGGCGCCCGCCTCCAGCAGGACCCAGCAGCGCCCCACACCCGCGCGGGCAAGGATGGAACCTGGAGGAGGCACCCACTGCATCTCCCTCAGCTCCTTCCCAGCCCGCCCCGAGGGGCTTTCCCCGGCAGGCAGGCACGCGGCAGCCCCAGCCCTGCGGCTCCCACCTGCACGGCCCGGGTGAAGAAGACCCCCGCGTCAGACGCCAGCTTCTTCACGTTGAAGTCCATCTTGCTACAGCAGTGGGGACACAAGAGCGAGCAGCCCCTACCTCCACTCCGCCCCGCCCCGCCCGCTGCCGGCCAATGAGCGCACCCTACGACCCGTCCCCTTTTATAGCTCCCATCGATGCGCTCCGGCATCCGCGCGCAGGGCTCTTAAAGGGGACGCCGCCGCGGAAGGTTCCGCAGCGTCTCTACCTCGCTCCAGAGTGCCGTATCATGGCTGGTTCATCTCTGGGTGGGTGTGAGTGAGTGTGGGAAGGGTGTTTTAGAGGCAAAGGCTCACCCCGGGCTCTGGTGGGGACACGTGGTCAGCTAGGGGCAGGGCCCGTTTAATTGCTGCTTCGATCACCTGTCAATGGCGGCTGGGCCCTAGCTTCTTCGTGGCTCAACCACACTCCGCGCCGCAGCCGTAGCCTCAGCCGGAGCAGAGGAGCCCTGCGATTGGCCAGCGCGGGCACAGCCTCCCGCTTGGATTGGCTGTGGCGGGTGGTGACTCTCGGCGGTCACGCCCTCACCCTCAGTCGCCGCGGCAGTCGGCGTAGGGTGCGCCAAGAGAAGGAGACGCTGCCCTTCCGAAGCCATGGAACGCGGCGGGGTGAGAGCGCCCCCTCCCCCCACCCCCCCGCGGCACGTGGTAGCGGCCGGGCTGGTGGCCTGAGCGGGGGGTGGGCTGTACCATTCGCCGGCGGGAGGGGGCCGGGGGCCGTCATGGTGTCCCTTTGGCGGGGCTGTGCAGTGCGGGGAGGGGATGTTGCAGCGAGGGCCTGGCTGGGGCGGCGTTCCCTGAGCAGACGGGGCTTGGGCAGGAGGTGGGTGCCGGGGGGTAGGAGGTGCAGCCCTTCAGGGGCAAACCTGTGTATGTGGGGTCTTGTTCCATAGCCAGTGTCACCCCCAAAACCCTGCTGCCTCGCTCTGTGGTGGGGGGAGCTCCGTGGGCCGTGCTGCTGCAGGGCCAGATTTGAAAAATCCAGCTTAGTTTCGCCGCTGAGTTAAAACAGTTTGGGGCAACTGGGTGGCAGCAGGGTTTAGCCGCTGTCCATAACGTTGTCTTCTAAATGACGCTGAGATGGTGGCGCTGCTTTGGAAACGCCTCCAAGTCCTTCCCAGAGCAGCGCTTCTCAACCCACGGTTGTGAGAATGTAGGAAAGGAAAGGAAACAAGCTTTCAGGGGAAAAACCTGGGAAATGGTGGTTTTTCCTTTGCAGGCTGGCAGAGCTCCAGCTGCAAGGGGCTGCTTGGGCCTCTTGTGCCCACACGCTGGGGACGAGGGGCAGCGGGTTGCGAGTGAGGGGTGCTGGGTCCGGAGTGGCCATTGGTGTGTACAGATGGGTCCTGGTATAGAAAAAGGTTGGTTACAAAAAAAAAGACTGAAAATCCTTGTTTCATTGGAGAGGCAGGTGATAGCGCTGTTTGCAGGAGCAGGTTTGAGACTGTGGCTGAGTCCATTCTAGCTGTCTTGCTGCTTGACATGGATTGTAACGTGCTTTGAAGGTCGTGCTGTCAGGGCAGACCATGCAGACCTTGCTTCTGTTTAATTATCCGCTTCACCTGCTTTCTTCTTTGTGCAGGAAGAAAATTCCCAGCTGGAGACTGCCCCTGCAATCCTGAGACACATGTTGAAACAAAGTTGGATTTCTTTGTGAGCTCTGAATGGTTCCTTAAGTGTCCTTCCCACACGCTGACTCCTGTGGGTACTCGCAGCCTCATTCAGAAATGGCCTTTCAGAGAACCGAGGGAATGTCTATCATCCAAGCCTTGGCAATGACTGTGGCAGAGATCCCGGTGTTTGTTTACACAACCTTTGGGCAGGTAAAAAAATAAAAATAAGTAAAAGAGTCCTGGGTTGTATGCATAGTTCAGCAGAGCTGCCTGCACCAGTTCATTTGGAGGGGTGAAGGCAGAGAGTCAGTGCTAATTGAATGGGGGGAAGGAAGAATCAGAGGGTGTTGAGGAGGAGGAGTGGCAGTTGCTATGGGGGTTGCAAGAGGCTGCGGAAGTTAGAAATGGAGGTTTCTTGTGAGAGGCCCAGAGAGGTTTGGAAAGGTTCGGAGGGACTGATTAGGATACCTAAGGGTATCAGCTCTGCAGGTGGCTGTGTCACTGATGGGACACTTGGCTGGGGAGAAGAGATTCGAGGAGAGATGATGCTTGGAAGTAAGGCATGTGTATTGCTGGATGGCCAGAATATATCCAAGTTGCTACATTCTCAACAGAAAAGTTTTTGGGTTTATTCA